TCCAAGTCAAATGATATCATTTCACATTATATTATTCTATCATAATGTATTATTCTATTTTATTTTCCATTCTGAACAGATTTACCTCTTTGTTTTTACTTGTTGATACCAATTGATATTAGCAGTCATATCCTTTTATTATGAATTCTATAACTCGCAGATTCGGTATAACCGTATAATAAGATCACTCTATGTTTAAGGTTTACACTGGATGCAAGTTATGAAGTAAATGTACATTTAGTCAACTGGTAAAATGAATGACGCAAGAGACTTGTGATGTGTGGTCAGCCTGCCTAGTGGTCATGTTATTGGGGCCCTTACACAAGCTCTGGACTTCAGCGTTTATTCCCTGAGCTGGAGTCAGTGGAGACCCGGGGGGCGCAGCAGTCTGTGTGCAATGCTATAACTTACACTGGGAATGCAGAGCTGTGTATTCCTGAGCCTTGGATCAATTATAAATGGAGCAGTACAGTACATCAGAATAACTATGTGTCTGTGTGTGTGTGTGTGTGTGTATAGCATGTCTACAAATACATTCACATCATTTATTTTGCCGCCACTTTGAGATACACGAAAATCAAGTATTTTTTATGGGCCATTCATTTGATATTTATCTATCTGTCTATCTAATATCTCTCTACCTCTCTATCAATGTGTCTATCTCTCTCTCTCTCTCTATCTACCTATCTCTCTATCAATGTGTCTCTATCTATCTATCTATCATCAATGTATCTATCATCAATGTATCTATCATCAATGTATCTATCATCAATGTATCTATCATCAATGTATCTATCATCAATGTATCTATCATCAATGTATCTATCTATCTATCTAATATCTATCTATCTATCTATCTCTCTATCTCTCTATCTACATCTATCTATCTAATATCTATCTATCTGTCTATCTAATATCTCTCTACCTCTCTACCTCTCTATCAATGTGTCTATCTCTCTCTCTCTCTCTATCTACCTATCTCTCTATCAATGTGTCTCTATCTATCTATCATCAATGTATCTATCATCAATGTATCTATCATCAATGTATCTATCATCAATGTATCTATCATCAATGTATCTATCATCAATGTATCTATCATCAATGTATCTATCTATCTATCTATCTATCTAATATCTATCTATCTATCTATCTATCTATCTATCTATCTATCTATCTATCTATCTATCTACCTATCTATCTATCTATCTCCCTATCTCTCTATCAACATCTATCGATCTAATATCTATCTATCTGTGTATCTAATATCTCTCTACCTCTCTATCTCTCTACCTCTCTATCAATGTGTATCTATCTATCTATTATCAATGTATCTATTTATCTATCTCTCTATCTCTCTATCTACCTATCTCTCTATCAACATCTATCTAATATCTATCTATCTGTCTATCTAATATCTCTCTACCTCTCTATCTCTCTACCTCTCTATCAATGTGTCTATCTCTCTCTCTCTCTCTCTCTATCAATGTCTATCTATCTATCTATCTATCTATCTATCTATCTATCTATCTATCTATCTATCTATCTATCTATCTATCTACCTATCTCTCTATCAATGTGTCTATCTATCTCTCTATCTACCTATCTATCTATCTATCTATCTATCTATCTATCTATCTATCTATACATCAGCCTATTTATTTATCTAGATATTTGTCAGTCTATCTTTCTAGACAGGACCAATAAATGGAAAGATAGATAGTTAGATATCTCTATTAATAGATAAAACAATATAGATAGATAAATGGATAGATAGATAGATACATAGATAGATAGATACATAGATAGATGTAGATAGATGTAGATAGATAGATAGATAGATAGATAGATAGATAGATAGATAGATAGATAGATAGATAGATAGATAGATAGAAGATACAATAGATACATAGATACATAGATAGATGGATGGATAGATAGATGGATGGATAGATAGATAGATGGATGGATAGATAGATAGATAGAAGATACAATAGATACATAGATACATAGATGGATGGATGGATAGATAGATGGATGGATAGATAGATGGATGGATAGATACATAGATCGATACATAGATAGATACATAGATGGATGGATAGATACATAGATCGATACATAGATAGATACATAGATGGATGGATAGATACATAGATCGATACATAGATAGACACATAGATGGATGGATAGATACATAGATCGATACATAGATAGATACATAGATGTAGCCAATTATCTGGTAGGTTTATTTGGACTAGGACTATGTACATCCCGTTGTATTTCAGTTTCCCGCTCTGAGATGACAGTGAGCTGTGATGAGTTGTTGGGGTTGCTGAGTATTGTATTATAAGGGATTGATGTTTTGCCTGAACACCTCCTTCCTTCTTTCCTTCCTTCCTTCCATGTGACAGTCTCGGCGTCCATCGTCTTTCATGGTCATTTCTCTGCTCTCTCTCCGTTCTTCTAGCTCCTCAGTGGTTTGTCTGCGTTTCCTGATCTACACATAATCTCTGGGTTATGATAATCTCTTCCATGTCTTGTTTATTTTGGACATCGTCACTTCTCCACGCTAACACCTTCTTTTGTTCCAGATAAATATTCTGATCTCTCTTCTGCAACTTTCTACATCTTCCCTCCATTTTTAGTCTTGAATTCACGCTGCAGTTGCTGAGCCGGCAGCAGTGGACAATCCGCCGTCCTGGCATTTCATGTAAATTTCTATGGTGGGGGATGTATGTGCCACAGATATGGACTCACAATAGAGGCTTATGATGTGTCATTTTCTACCCATTTTAGGTATACCTGACTCTCCCTTGCCAGCTATTGTATTCTGACTGGCAGTGCCTAGAGCTGATTGGCTGCTGTCACTGTTCGGCCAACAATTTTCCACCTGGCTCCTTTGACACAAGTCCATTCAGTTGGGTGGTGCTGGTAGGACCACCATGGATTGAATATTGGCCAGGAAGTCACCAGGAAATGGCCAAAATGAGTTCCATGTAAGGCCAGCTTTAGACAGTTGTCACCAGAACAGGTGTCCCTATTGGAAGAATTCCCCTTACCTCCTGTTCTGGTGACAACTGTAAGAATTTTTGATTCTCCCTCACATTCATTCAATGTCACTAGGAGAAATAGGGAGGGTGGATCCCCAGAACCTCCCTAGACAGAGGCTTCAACACTTGAAGGCTCTATCCAAAGCTTCAAAGCAGACCTATACTCGGGGGTTACTTAAAGCTTATGTTATCAGTTTTTGCTGGGATGGATTTCAAAATGAGTTGCAATACCTTTCCTAGAACCAGGGCCATCCCTGTAAATAGGACAGCCTGAGGTCCTGGTCTCAGTCGATGGTCCTCCTGGATCCAACGATAAGGATCCAGGAGGACCATGTGCAGATCACGTGATCACTGTGGGGTCACAAGCCAGAGTGTCCCAGGTTGGTAAGAGCTCATAGCAATCTATGATGCTTTGGCTGGCATCCTGCCCAGCTCCTGGCAACCAGGTAACACCACACCTG